CATACTGCCCGTCCTCACCCGTCCTGGCCGAGGCGCCTGCTCGAGTTGTTTGCAGGCCCTCAGACCCCCGCCCGCAGTAAATGTGTTTTCATCCCCGTGGCTGGAGAAGATAAATTTAGCAACCCCCGCCGTCCCCTGCTTTCGCTTTAAAAAAAAAAAAAATCTTTGAAATAAAATGAAAATAGGCTTGCCAGTCGAAGTGGGTATGTGGGAAAGAGGAGGGGTAGAAAGGTGATCCTAAAGCAACTACGAAACCATTTAATTTAATTTTTTAAAAATAAACATGCAGCCAGAACGCCTAACTGATTTTATTCGTTTGCGGGGGTGGGGAAGAAAAATCAGGAAGAGGGTTGGTTACATTTGAAACGGGTTTCGCACAGTGCAATGGACAGATTTTTAATGTATATTTTCTACATATATATCGGTGTTTCAGAGTTTGGGAGCCTATGAAATGGAAGTCTTGTGTAATTGTTTCGTAAGATTAGTTTTTCACATTCTCTAATAAATACGGAAAGGGAGCAGAATTGGGTATGGGTGTTTTTTTTACAAACTTCCTTAAACAGCCTCTTAAAGTTTAAAAGAAAAACGACTGGAAAGGAGTAATATGTATTTGATTAAACAAAGCATTTATCAACCCCAAAAATGTGTATTTTGCTTTTTCATTAGTTTAAATGTTTAAGCTCTTTCCATACTAAACTTGGGACCCAAATTATGTTTAAAAATTATACTAAAATGGTAAACAGTGTGGTTTTTAATCAGGATATCTGACGTGCTTTATTTCTTCACTAAATGTTAGATAAAAACATTTTAAGCAGTACAGAACACAAAAGTTTTAACATAAATAGCATACTGTTGTGAAATCTCATTTTAAATACAGAAACCATATATTTTCATTTCCTGTCATAACTTTTTAAAACTCCCAGAATGCAAGTCGTCCTTTCCCTCAGACATTTTACAAACCAAAGGTACAATAAGAAGAAATCTCTGAGAATGTACTGGATGGTAATTTTCCTTTCAAGAGTTCAGCCTTGATTTTTTTTCAAGCTGTTAAGTTTACTTTCAAAAATGATAAATGACAACATGTCTTCATCATTTGTAGAAAACCCCATCGGGCTATGATATAGACTCTATTCACAGAAAGGTAAATATAAGTGAGAAAGAGAAATAGCTTGTATACTCACACTAATATAATTTCAAAAAATTGATTACCAGCATTTAGGTACTTTCCAAGTGCCTCTGTTTAATGCTATGGTATGTCAAGAATGGGGTCTAATCCATGCAACTGTAAGCAGCATGAACACAAAAACCTAATGTCAGCATTCTTATTAGTTCTTCCATAATTACCATCAAATACTTCTAAGTCCACCAGTATAAAGCACTTAAGAGTGGCAAGGAACACAAACGAAAAAAAGGTTTCCTCAACTTAAAAGACCCGAAGTAGTTTAGGTATTGATACTTTTATAATAAAAGAACCCTTTGCCAGTACTTTTCATGCATAAAGACTTTGATGGGAAACAAGAAAAGGAAAGCCTATTTCTATTAAATAAACTTTTATTAAAGTCCAACAAAAATTAGTCCATAGATGATTATGCAGGTGAAGTCAACTATACTTTTATTTTTCAAAAAAAGGGAAAGTAACTTCTACTTCAAATCCACTTATGGAAGGCTGTAAAGAACAGTGTGTGATAAAAAGCATTTTACTAGAAATACCCTTAATATAAAATACTTCTGATAAAGTGAAGGCACAAAGGAAGTGTGAACAGCAGAGATCAGAAATCATTCCATGTTGCCCTGCCTGTATAGCCCAGTTGTCGCAATATGCCAAAGTTGCAGGTTCAATCCCCAGTCAGGGTACATGCGAGCATCAACCAATGAGTGAATAAATAACTGGAACAACAAATTGATGTCTTTCCCTCTCTCTCTCTCAAATCAATAAAAAAAATTTATAAAACATTCGATGTTATAATAAAATCAAAACATAGTTTATGAGAATATTCACAATAGGACCTTGAGGACACCTAAGATCACTGAACGCATTTGGTAATTAATCACTGGGTGATTAACCTGACACCTTGCACTTAAAGGACCTTCTACAGCAGTGATGGCGAACCTATGACACGCATGTCAGAGGTGACACGCAAACTCATCTTTTTGGTTGATTTTTCTGTGTTAAATGGCATTTAAATATATAAAATAAATATCAAAAGTATAAGTCTTTGTTTTACTATGGTTGCAAATATCAAAAAATTTCTGTATGTGACACGGCACCAGAGTTAAGTTAGGGTTTTTCGAAATGCTGACATGCCGAGCTCAAAAGGTTCGCCATCACTGTACTACAGCCTACCAGCATTGATACTTTTGTTCATTGTTTTAGTATTAAGGACCTATAGAATTCTGGGCACAGGGAATAAAAAGATGTGGTACTTGGAGAACTCTGAATAAGGAGGTTACCTATGGCAGAATAAAAACATTCTTAAGTCCTTCCATTTTCTCAAATAAAATTTGATATAGGGAGATTGAGAGCAGAACATTTCAAAGGTATATGCTGTAAATACAAAATAGATGATTACAAAACAGTCAAGGGATTTTGGTTACGTGCTAAAATCTATTTGTTCCTTCAGAGCTGTTAATGTATATCAGATAGTTAAAAAGCATCAATCAAGGTTTTGACAATGTTTTAATAACTTAACTAAAAATTCCTGACATGTTTATAGGTCCTTGAGCCAGAAATAATACAAGGCCTTTCAATCATTTTTCCAGAGAAAGATTAGAAAAGAAGCTCTTAAAAAAAGAAGGAAAAATACTGTTAATTTTCACTCCACATCACTAACTGCTGGAAATCCAAATAGAAAACAGTAAGTTATTGGTTTATGAGAAAATATAGACCTCGAATAATGTTGTGGTAATTATTTTATGTCCCAAAGGTTAAAAAATACTTTCCCCTAGGAAGGCTCTAATTTTATTGAACCAAGCACATCCTATAACAATTAACCATCTATCTGATACTTGATACTCAAGTCATCTTTTTTTTTTTTACTCAAGTCATCTTATATGTACTTATCTTAACATGAGCAAGTTGCATCACGTTGGAATTCAGCTGGCTATAATTAATGCCAAGTAAGAATTTTTAATTTGAGTTTTTAAGCCACACACCCTCCCCAAGGGAAATAATTTTAAAATGAACAATGACTGACAATTAGGTGATTTTCAAACAGTATTTTATAACGAGTCATTAGTTGAATAAGACATTGTTTAATTCCTGAATATAAGTGAGAAAATAATGAGCATGCTGGGTGTCCAGATTGCTGCCTCTATGCACAATTTTCGACTAGAGGAACCACAGTTCTGAGAGAAATGACTGGTTCCTGGGCTGGAGTGGAAAATACAAGATGAACCAGGAATATCTCCTCATAACAAAGCTTACCAGGTGTCAAAAGGTGTCAGGAATCAGTTTAAAGAGGTGCCAGTTTGCTAAAGATTTAAAAATTTGAATGTCAAAAGAATAATTGCTATGAATTGAAATGCATCAAGTAGGTTCATGAGTTTGTAATGGAATTTTTAAAACTGATCAATTAGCCCTAATCAGTTTGGCTCAGTGGATAGAGCGTAGGCCTGCGGACTGAAAGGTCCCAAGTTCCATTCCAGTCAAGGGAATGTGCCTTGGTTGCGGGCACATCCCCAGTTGGGGGTGTGCAAGAGGCAGCTGATTGATGTTTCTAACTCTCTATCCCTCTTCCTTCCTCTCTGTAAAAAATCAATAAAATATATTTTTAAAAATAAAAATAAATAAAAATGATCAACTACCCCTG